ACTCGGTGAGATTTCGCTTTGCAGAATTTACATGATATTACTGCTACAACCATGTCAGTGCCGATACATGCTAGCTCGAACTTCACACGGCAGGGGTTGATTCAGCTTGTATTAGTTGGTAGCTGTGTTTGTTTTATTTTCATATTTCATTGTGTTTTAGTTTCAGGTCCAAGAAATCACTCACAGATGTTGCTAACAAGTCTCTATTTGATTCCGCCACGATGCATCTTAACCATGTTTTGTTTCCACGTATCTGTTTGGTCTAGAACTACTCTGTTTGTTTGGATTATTACAGGTTTGAATGTCGCGGAAAGCAACTGTAAAGCTGAGCCAATTTCGACCGCGTCGTCCTTTCGTCGAATACTTATTGCGAATCCAATTCAAGCCCGCGACGTTGCCGACAAGTTCTGTTATTTTCAGTTTCCAATACAATTTCAACATCAATATTGCAAGTGACATTTGGTTTTAGAAGCAGCAACGCAAGTTCAAACAACATTTAACTTTGAACCATCAAACTCGCACCTTTGATTTAAGTTTTGTCTATCCAGTTTGTCTTTGAAACTGCGGATTCGGTTTTCTTTTGTTGCTGTCTATGATTGATACATATGCAGGTTTTGGATTGGGCGCGGGATTGGAAATGATCATACACAAGCAGTAGCACGTGATTGCGGTTATGTGTGTCGGTAATGGGTTCAACGATGTGGTTTGTTTTCTGCATAATACCAACTGTCTGTGTTAGGATTGTAGCTTCATGAGCTGTGAACGGTTAGATATTTTTGATGTTACAAATTCTCTAGTTGTGATGTTTTGTTTTCAGACCAATATTGAGTTCACTTTGTTTTGGTTTAAGTTTGAATTTAGGTTGGTTTCATTTTACACAAACAGTGAGTGGATCTATGTTGGTTAGGTTGTGTTGCTACTGATGTTTAATCTTGCTGTGGAAATTATAGTTTTTGCAATTGATTCGCATAGTTTAAAATAGCACGTTGTTGGAACTAATGCTGAAAGTTAATATTGAAGTTCTGTATGTTGTCTGCGATTTGACTGTATATTTCCTTGCAAGTCGGCTGTGCTTCTGTTATAAATATGTGGTTGGTTGTGCTACTACAATTCGTTTCCTTCATTCAAAGTTCGAATATATGGTGATATTTGTTTGCATTCCAATTTGGTATATTATGCAGTTATTGTATCGTGAGTTTTTTGATCGTGCACTTCGTTTGGCACAATTCAAGGTTGTTGCAGCTCCGATGTTATTGTATGTTGGTGGCGATGCAAATAATATCTTACTGATTGTACCATGTTGTTGGTTGTCTTAATGGATGACATGATTATTCGATGTAGTTAGCGTTGTATAACGAATCGCCATGATTTAACATTTCTAATGTTGCAGGTTGTTAATGTTTCATAAGTCTTGCAGTACTTTTCGTCCTAATTTCAATAGCTACTATTTTGTTACATATAATAAATTGTGAGATTATTGGGTACATAGCATTTGGCTCGTTCATAGCTACTGTTTCAAATTAAATGTGTTGTATGACTGTTTTCTTTTTAATCTTAGTTGATCTCATAAGCTTGCACCCTTGGGTGACTCATTTTCATGAACTACCGTCGCATTAGCGGTCTCAATTTCATTGGTTATTATAGTGCATAGATTATGGTCCAAATTATGCTAGCACGATGGCTGGAGTGAGCAGGCATTGCGATCAAGGTCAGTATGGGCGCCGAGAATTCTGTGATTCACTTGAGACTAGTAGTTAAATTCTGGTAAAACAATTAATCAATTTATTTTTCTATAGAACTTATTATTTCCACAAGAAAAATGCTGAATTATTTCAAGGGAATTTGCTTTTATTTTAAAAAAATTGGGTTTCTAATCTTACTTAAACCTATTTTCAAATTTATTTATTAACTACTTTTCTTAATCTTAATTTCAATTTACTCACAACACACAAATCTTTCTCTTAATCCATAACGAAAATTAAACTCTTAAGGTCTAGCACCTCTTGAGTTTTTGAATAATTATTATTGGGGCGTACGCCTTGGATAATATTGTTCGTTTTTCGTTACGCTCTTAATTATTTGAACAAAAATATATCAGAGGAGTCTAGCGCTCTTTGTGATATTTTCTTTGATTATTCAAACATTATTTCTTAAATTAAATCAAAACCATCCTCAAAATTAATAATTTTTTTCCTAATCTTCATTCAAATTATTTTCTAAACCAAAAATCACCTTTTATTCAGTATTATTAATGGGTTTATTTTTATATTGATATTTTTAAAATTTTTCAAACAAAGATCTATAGTCATTTCAAAATACACTTTTAAAACTCTATTAAGTTTTTTTCAAAACTCTTAATTCAAATCTCGAAAATTGAACTCTTGAGGTCTAGCACCTCTTAAGTTCTTGAATGATCACTATTAAGGTGTACACCTTGGGTAGTGGCATTCGACTTTTTGTTTTAAAATACGTTTTTATCTTGGACAAAGAAATATTATAGGAATCAAGCATTCTGTGTGATATTTCTATCGTTCATTCAAACATTTTCCAAATGAAAAAGGTGTCGTCGAGATCTAGCATTTCGATAATACCCCAATTAATTGGTTGTGAGGCCTACGTCTCATTTATCAAATAATTGTCATTTCTCTCATTTTCAAATCCAATCTCATGTCCTCACATCTCGTACCTTAAACTATTTTCGTACCTCATTTCACCTCAAATCTTTTTCAAACATTTTTCCGATCAAACTTCGAAAGAAGGAGGTTCTTGGAGTCTAGCATTCCTTGAATTTTCGAGTGAATGATTCTCGAGGCACGCCCTTTGAGTTATTATTCATTCAATCTTTCGACCTTTTTCAAATATCTTTTTCAATTCACGCTTCGAAAGAAGGAGGTTCTTGGAGTCTAGCATTCCTTGAATTTTCGAGTGAATAGCTCTCGAGGCACGCCCTTTGGGTTGTTATTCACTCAACCTTTCGACTTTTTTTCAAACTCAATCATTCTCAATATTCTCCTGAGTCGAATGCTCGTAGGCATTCGCAAACCAATCCATTTCTTTCACAATTCCTCGTGGTCTCGATATTAGGAGCACCCTCAGGGACTAATATCGTTTCTCACAACCTTAACCCTTGACACGTCGTCAAGCCGGTTCCATCTTCAATCAAATCCTCGACACGTCGTCGAACCACTTCAAAACAATTCCCTTTTGGCCTCGCATGCCATTCTTCGATTCGATCCTTTCACAAACACATTTTTTTAAACTTACGAAAGAGGGATATTCTTAAAATCTAGCATTCTTTGAATATTCGAATGAGTAACTCTTGGGCACGCCCCCGAGTTGTTATTAGTTCGTTCTTTCGATTTCAAAACATCCAATTCTTATCTTCAACTTACTCAACTCAATTTCCGAAAGAACTGAGTTCTTGGGATCTCGCATTCCTCGAATTCTTGAATGACAAGCTCTTGAGGCACGCCCTTGGGTTGTTTGTCAGTCACTCTTTCGTCTCCCAACTCAACTTCAACCAATTCAAACCTCATCTTTTCGTGGTTGTTACCACGAACTACGGACGCTCTGATTCTTTATTCATTCTTGAATATAAGATACGTAGGCACAAGATTGCGATGATCTTGGCGAGCACACTTCTATCCATCTTCCGTTTTCCACCCAATCCTTTCCCGTAGTCGAACTACGACGCTCTGATTTCTCATTCTCGTCCGAATGAGCATACGTAGGCACAAGGGCCCCAATCCTTGGCGAGCACCCTATTCTCTAATCACCCATCTCTCCTTAGCGTCTTTAACCTTTTACCCTACCAGTTCTACCTTTAGCAACGAGAAGAAAACCAATAAACCTAGACAACACTCCCCACAATTACCTTAAGAGGTTCCCGTCGAGTACGACGGACGTGAGGGGTGCTAATACCTTCCCCTCACGTAACCGACTCCCGAACCCGGAACTTGGTTGCGACAGCCCTGTTCCTATCCTTTCGTTTTAAGAGGTTTTCTCGATATTTTCCTCTCCCGTTTATTCGGGAAAAATAAAGTTCGGTGGCGACTCTGTCGAACCGCATTTCCGCGCCTTTCGCGCGAGGGTCGTATTTTCGAATGTGATTTTTCGAGGTGCGACAGATGACATTGAAAGAAATAGTATTAATGGATAAATGTTAAGGTTTTCACCAAAATTTTAGTGCTCAAAGAAATAACTAGTAGCTGCATTGTCATTTTGTGAAGTTGACACTATATCAGGATCATATGTTGTTTATCAAATTGTTGGCTTGATGTGCTGATACATATGAAGATTATTGAGATGATTATCGACAAAAAGCAATCTAGACGAAAAGGAGAGTAGTATAGTAATTGAGAATAAGAGGGGAAAACTAAAAAAAACATAAAAGAAAGTTTGAATTAAGTTGAAAGATCATAAACATTGAAATAAATAGTAGAGGCTAACATAGAAGCAGGAGTCAATACCCGAACCACACCACCTATACTAACTAGTGAGACCATCATCATCATCGATGACAGATGATCTTACTAAAAAATCAAAGGTATTATCTGGTGCGCTCTTGACTCCCTCGGTCCCTCTACCCTCCTCAAACACATCAATACCATTTCTCAATGTTAATTGCCACACTCTCACTCCCATACAAAACACACACAAATTAGTTCTTCTACACCTTCAACGTCTTTATTTAAAAACACTGATACCCTACCTCCTTCCTAACTACTCTAATCAAACTCCCTACAATTCATGTTCTCATAGTTAGAAAAAGAATTAAATTAGCAATGGAAATTTGAGACAGAAACTAATAAAATCCATCTCTAACTCACTTGTCATTAGACAACGTGACAGAGAAACGGATTTCATATTCTTTCGTCAATAATTTCCGTTGCTAATTCAACTTTTTCGTACAATATTCTTTAACCATTACTACAAATCCAAAATCCAAAAGGGTGGAAGGAAGAACAATTTAAAAGACTTGGACTAGGTAGGTGTTCACACTACTTGGGAGGTGCACTAGTGGTTGGTTCATTGCAAGACCCAACAAAGCAATTGATGTTAGTGGTGCTACAAAGAGCACTTTCAATTTGGTGCAGGGTGTTGCAAAGGTGGTTATTGATTGCTGTGACACTTGAAAGGTTAAGCTTTGCAGAAGGAATTGTGCTTGCTAGAACTTGCATTCCCATGATAAGAAGACAACCTGAGTTAGCAGCAGCAGCAGCATTAGTAGTAGTAGTTGATGATGCTGTTCCTTGATCAGATGTGTTTCCGCCAAGGCTTGATGTGTCAGTGTTTGATGAAACCATTGGAACTATCACGAACCCTTGTGGAAGAAGTGCAATGCATGAAGGGTCTTCACCACTCATGGCTAGCTGGATTGAATCAACGTCGATTGTCGTGTAGACTACTAAGCTTCCTGATTGATCTGTGCAACTCTCTTGCAGCATTAGCTCTACATTCTGTGATGAGTTACTTGCTACCTGCATGTGTAACAAAATCATATATGATTTCTTTATCTCAACCAAAACTTGCTCAATTCGATAAGAGTGAAACTAGGTTATTTATAAAAAGTTATGTTACATTTATGCGAAGAAGCGAAATGCAGTTTCCTGGATGTGAACCATTTGCAATATGAGCCACTTCATTCAACGAGTTCCCATTTGAAAGAGCATCCATCTGCACACAAAAATTATAATCAAGAGTTCGAATTATTCAAGCATTTGACTGCGATTCTCTGCAATATTGAGGATGGTGTGGTGATGTACATTTTGCAGTACCTGAGATCTATGGCGTTCGTCTCGGAGAAGATCAAAGACCTTGGTATGAGAATAAGGAAGCCAAGTAGTTGAAACAGCGGCGAGAATCACGCCATTAGGTTGGCCAGGCTCAGTGATTTTCCTAGTTGTGATTCTAACAGTGTCTTCTGGTGAATCTGATATAGCAGTCCATGATTGACCACCACAAGTAGTCATGTTAAGACTAAAAGTTTTTATCATCCTGTTAGCTAGTTTCATCAAGTTCTTCCGCGCCTCCGGAGAAGGTATCACTGCAATCCAAAAATAAAATCTCAAATATATAATCGGTTTAGTCGCCGGATGCTACGCTTAATAGAAAATTTTCTAAATAAAACCTCCAAGATCAGATATGTTTCTAGCCATTTGACTCGCAACCCTTTCACATTGTCTCTGCAAAACTCCTAACCAACGTTGTGCACCAAATGCCATTCCAGTATACACATAGTTACTAAATATTTGATGGACAGGTTTCTCTATAACTTTTGCATGCTCAACCCATGTTACCTGCATACATGATTAAAATTAACATAAGATCGAAAAAATGATTAAGTATACTAACAATAACGTATTAAAAATAGGGCTAGTTATCTTACCCTTGAATAGCCATTTGGCATATCTTGAATCACACAGCCAGAGGACCTTCTGCAGTATTTGGGATATGAATGGTGAAAGTTTTGGTGAAAGCTGTCAACAGGAAAATCAACAATGGCCCAAGTTCCTTCCTCGGCATTTTGCTGACAGTATCGAAGAAAATGAGTCTCTCTAGTGGACACCAATGGAGAAAGAACTTGAAATTCTGCATGCATCTGTACGTTGGAAGAATATGCCATATATTAGTCTTCATTCATTATTCAATTTCAATTAGTATTTTTATTTTGTTTTGAAAAAGGAGATCGTTATGAAACACGAACACCAGACACTGTACGTACCAGCTGAAGAGTCCCACTTGCGTGACCAGAAGCACCAGAAGCTATAATTTGGACAGTTTTTGCTCTAGCAACTATTGTTGGAAACAAATCCATCCATTTTTGCTAAAATGAAGAAATAAAAACAAAACAAAACTCATAAGAAGCAAATTGAAATAATTATGAATAGAGAAGTTAAACAAAATAAATACTTACAGCATCAAGAAAAGCATCAACAAGAGTGACACTATTCATAATAACAACAGCACTATCACGCGTAGCTTCTGTCCTCAACTCACTTCTCTGCTTAAGATTCAAAGGACATTGAAAAATCCTAGCATGCTCATCAAAATTAAGCACTTCCCTTTCATTCTCGCCGTTCCGAATCCAAAGCGGTTCATTCATTTGACACATCTTAACAAGTTCAGTCATAGAAGAAACTGCAAGATCCATAGCCAGTGATTTCTCATCTTCCATTAACAAAAGACCACCCTCTTGAAAATGTGAAGATTCAGACTGTAACATAGGGACAGGAATCATTTCTGTGCATGGCGAAATTTGATCAACAAAGTGTCTTGTTGGATATATGTTCATGTCCAAATCTAGTGATGGTTGCATAAGAGATGAAGGTGGTGCCATTGTTTGGAGTGAACGACCAGTGTATCTTGATGTTATACAACAAACACGTTCCAGCTGCAAAATATTCATACACTCAAAATCAAATCATACATTTTTTTCTTTCCTTAAATTTTTGTAACAAAAAGAAAAAGCATATACTGATATACCTCTTCTCTTAAACGAGCATTTTCAATTCGAAGTTGATGGTCATCAAGGCCCAAATCAGGGCCCATTATACATGGCCCACCACAGTTAGGACAGATAATATTACGTAAAGCAGCTTGTAACCGATAGTTCTCATTCTTTAAACCTTCATTTTCTGCTCTAAGTATCACATTATCTGAACGATCTTGTTGTGCCTATAATTAATTAATCAAACCGTATGATTACAGGTATAGTAATTATGATAATGATGCGTTTCTATTCAAAGAGTAACAGTAAATAAATTGTTTTGAAAAATTAATGAAGAAACCAAGAACTCTTATAAAACCCTAGTAATGATGATATATAGCAATAAATATGACTAGTCTTTGGAGACCACAAGTGACAGGTGAAGTTTAATGCATTACTTTAATGGAATACAGACTGTAATAATGGACAACACCAATAACACCATTTACTATCAAAACTCTTTTTTCTTGTTCATGACTCAAGAATTTTAATGCATAAACTGTAAGAAAACGCGTTTTTTATTGGGAAACGTGATACGTTAAATTCAATACTAGTACTACTAGTTTAGGGTTTTTTTATTCAAGTTTGTTTCATTCTTTTCGTCAAAGGTTAGAAGAAGGAAAAGAAGAACAAACGTTGTTAATGGAAAGGTTTTAATTAAAAGCTTTGTTTTAGTACGATTAAAGTTTAAACTCTTGATTACTTACCTTCATCTGAGTTCGACGATTCTGAAACCAGAATTTAACCTGGCGTGGTTTCAGTCCTAAATCATGGCTTAGTTTCATTCTTTGTTTATCATCTGGGTGTGGACATTCCTTGAACAAACTGCATATATATAAACGTTACCGTATTTTACATGCAAGAAATCAACCTTAAACTCTTGTCTAGGGTTTTAAAACATTATCATAGTTAATATAATGTGCGAAAACCATATTAGGTCATGGTTTTTCTATGATAATATGTGTGTGAGAGTTAAAATAATGGAGAAAAAGAAAGATCTATAAAAAATATATATATAAAGATAGAGATTATTGTTATACGCTTCCATTTCTTGGATCTGACGAACAGTGTGTCTATGATAACGTTTCTTCTTTGCAGCTTGTTGTTGTTCTTCATTGTTGATCTCTTGTTCATTTCCTGACTTGTCTTCAACTTGTTCACTACCTGAACCACTTTGATCCATTATCTCTTCCTTCCCTCTCAACATTCCATCTTCTTCTTTCTGTTCAAACATATCCACAAAAATGAAGACAAAACAAAACCAACAATGATGTTGTCAGTTGTCACACACAGACACATACAAAAAAAACAAGAGAAAACGTTTAATTACCATGGAGGAAGAAAAAGGTTGAAAAGGCATGGTTGGCATGAAGTTGAAGTTAGGGTTGTGGATCGGAGAAGAGAAGAGAGATTCTGAGTTCGTTACAACATTTCCTCCTCCCATTGTTGACATAACTTGACAATCACCAAACATTTTTATTAACTAAACTGCACACACTGTTTTTTTTACTTCAGTAGAACCAAACCTGATGATGTTAACATCAAAAATTAAAAACTTTCCTGTATCAGAATCCAAACAACAACAACCAAAAAAACATTCTATTATATTATAGTTAAAAAAAACAAAGAATCACAGACATAAAAACAACCAAAATCTAATATCAAAGGAACACTATGTGTTTAGAAGAATCTAACGTGTAAGGAAAAAACAAAACGAAAGTGAAGAAAAAGAGAGTACTAGTATATGTTTTGGAGGGTTTACTATACCAGCAGGACCATGAAGAGGATTCTGAAAATGGTTTTGAAAATGAAAGGATAGTGCTTTTTGAAGATCTTGTTTCAGTTCACTTCACACACAGACACTGAGAAACAATGTGAGGAAATGGTCCCTTTTCTTACGTTTGTTTCTTTACCTTATCCTAGAATTTATGTTACTCAAATGGTTTTATTATAAATTCCATACGGTAAATTTGTTCTATAAGTATAAAAAAATCACGTTTTAACAATGTTATTAGTAATTAAATATATCATTAATTAAAATATTGCAGTAATAAATAGGTGAATTTAATATTTTACTGTGAGTGATAAATGTAGGTATACAGAAAACCGATCAGCAGTGGTAACTACATCAGCTGTTACATTCCACGTGGCAATTTTTAATTGGTGTTTCTATGCATTGCGTTTTCCACACCCATTTGTTTTACGATAAGTCAAACCTTTTTAATTCTCCCAACTACTCTACCTCACGCTCTGTGTAGCGAGTGAAAAAGATTTGCATCCTTTTTAAGTTAGGGTGTAAAACACGCACTTTGTTGAGCGTGGTTTATTTATAGGGAAAGTTTCACCTTGCAAGGTCGAGGGAGAGAAATTAATATTGACTTGCAATAGAATAGAAGCGTTAAAGGAAAAGAATCAGAAGTGATGAGTAGAAGTAGGGTCAAAAAGATCACAACCGTTGATTTAAAACTAGTGGGATCCATTAAACAATCATACAATTTAGATTTGCATGGTATGGTGGTGGAGCCAGGTGGAGAATAGAGTGAGTTTTATTTATTGATATTTTTCGACACTGAAACCGGTGAGATCCAATCCAAGGTGTCAATTTCATATGGGGACCACACAGACTATGGATTAAACAAATCAAACAAAACTCATACTGTTTGAAAAATTGGAATTAAATTTGGTAAAGATACTATACATATGGATTTATTGCTTTCGAGATTTAATTACGAAATTCTCTATGAGGTTTTTACTTCTATATCGTGATCTTGACGAGGGATGTATATTATGTCAAAAGTGTGTTGTGTTGCTTTCAAGAGGATTTCTTAGTTGGTCTTAAAATAATAAGGACTGTGGTTGAAGATGGAGTAGATATGTAGATACTAGGAGTAAAAATGAGCATGTTGTATGATGTGATTAGTAGAAATTGTCTAGTGTTTAGGGGTATTAATTAAGGGTTGTTTGTTGGGGGTAATGTTTCTGTTTGGGGGATAATTCTCTAAGAGAAACTGATTGTACAATAATAGTAGGAATTAGCATGTACATATATATACAGATGTTAAGAAGCATTATGGGTATAATTGGACATATATGGTTTAAAGTTAAATAAAATTAAATACTTCAATGAAATGTATTAGAGCATCTCCAATGGTGCAACCCATTTTTAGGTTCTTTGTGGGACCCACTCTTTTAAAGCAACTCATTCAATTTTCACTCCAATTGTGCAACTCTAAAGAATCCATATTGGGTCCCACCACTTTACTTAAAAAATATTATTTATATTAAATTTATTTTATTTAAAATTATAATTTAAATATTTAAATTTTAATTAAAATGATAATTAAAATAATAAATAAAATTTTATATCAAATTATAGTTTTTATATTATAAAATTAATATTTTAATATAAGAACCATTGAAGAACCGTTGCATATTTAAGAACTTTTCCATCTTGGAAACAACAAATATGAGTGTCATGTTGGCAAACTCACTCTAAGAACTCCCATTGGAGTTGGTCTTAGTCACTTTGTTCCAAAACACTGCTGCTCATGTGTCCTGTATAATTACATTAATATATGAGAATATAATAGAAAGGATATTAGTACTTAATAATAATCTTGTTATAGAAAAAGGATTCACACGTCAAATTTAATTATATTAATTATATTTGGTGTGAAGGTAAATATATTTCATTTTCAATAGTTTCTTTTTATTATTAATGTTTTTTTATTATTTATAGTGTTTTTTTTTTTAATTTTGAACATGGTTTCTATATAGTATAATAATAATAATAATAATTCATAGTAAGAAAAAAATAATAACTCCTTTTTTATAATATTATTTATAATAATATAAATAATTTATTATTTTATTTATAGGTTTTCAAATAAATAATTAAATTAAATGGGAAAAAGTGTATTGTTAATGCAATTTTTTTTATAAACGGAATAAATTAATTGTATTTAATTTTTAATTTATGCTAAAGTATTCCTCTACTTTTTATAAACAGAATAAATCAATTGTACTATAAATATTCTTGATCACCTATTTCTAATAATATAGCATTATAATTTGTTTGAATAAATAAGAAAATTATTTCACAAATATTCTATTCTATTCTATAAATATGTTTTAGAAAATTATTTCATAAGATAATTATTATTTATATCATAATAATTAAATATATTGATTTATAAAAATATATAATTTCAAATTTATAATATCTTATTCTTATAAATATAAAATATTAACGGGTCAACTTCATCATTGATCTATATATATATATATATATATATATATATATATATATATATATATATATATATATATATATATATATATATATATATATATATATATATATATATATATATATATATATATATATATATATATATATATATATATATATATATATATATATATATATATATATATATATATATATATATATATATATATATATATATATAAACGTAATACAGAAAAAAATATGTTATTTTTTAATTATTTATATTACTAATAAAGAAATAAATCAGACAAATATTTATAAATAAAAGATATTAGACAAAAAAATATACAAGTAATATATGAATTAAATGACTTTAAAATTATATGTTAATATACACAATTCATAATTATTTTATGATCACCAAAATAAAGAAAATAAAAAAAATAAAAATAAATATATTTTAAATAATGCATGAATTCAAACACGGAAAAATGTATTTATTTATGTTACTAATATTTATTATAGAATTAAGGGTTAAAAAGTACACATGCAACGATATTTATTTATGTTAATAATATATTTAATTGATTGACAGTGTAAAATATTTTACACTATCAGTGCATTTCCTTTTTTCTCTAGAATTAAAATAATATTTTCAAATACTATGTTAATAGTTGATATTTATAAAACTAAATAATTGCATAAATATTTTTATAAATAATGGTTAAACAAATTTTATATATATATATATATATATATATATATATATATATATATATATATATATATATATATATATATATATATATATATATATATATATATATATATATATATATATATATATATATATATATATATATATATATATATATATATATATATATATATATATATATATATATATATATATATATATATATATATATATATATATATATATATATACGAAAATATATACGGTTGATCCAAATATTTATATATATATGAAGAAAAAAATATTCATGCTCCAAATAAAAATAAAAAATATGTTTTTTTTAAATAATAAACTTTCTTGGTTGAATAATTGTCTTTTTGTTTTTTTATTCTTATTACATTTTAGAAATAAATGTGTGAACATACTATTATCCGTACAAACACACGCGTAACCATAATAAAATTTGTGATAATCCACGAATTATTATATTTTTTGTACAATTAAAAAAAATATATATATATATATATATATATATATATATATATATATATATATATATATATATATATATATATATATATATATATATATATATATATATATATATATATATATATCTTAAATAATGTATGAATTCAAACACAGGATAAATGTATTAATTTATGTTACTAATGTTTATTTATACAATTAAAATAATATTTTCAAATACTATGTTATTAGTTTATATTTATAAAACTAATTGATTGCATAAATATTTTTATAAATAATGAAAAAAAATTTTAATTTTTACTACAGGAAAATATACATTTGATCTACATATTTGTATATACGAAATAATTATAAAATAGTTGTCTTTCTATTTTTTTATTACATTTTTGAAACAAATGTGTGTAGCAGAACGGTACACGTGTGAATGCATGGTATTCCCTACTTTATATTAATATATGAAAATAAAATAGAAAGAACATTAGTACTTAATAATAGTCGTGTTATCTTCGTGTATGAGCATACTTATCACTAACGTGAATCTAATGGAAAAAGGATGCATGCATCAAATTCAATTATATTAATTATATTTGGTGTGAAGGTAATAGATGTCTAAATTGAATAGCGATTTACAATCTTAATTTAATTAATTGTGTTATTTTAATTAAATTTGTGATATGGTGGTAAATTATTTTATTTTATGTGTTTGGAGATATAGGACCTAAGATGGGAGAACACACCCTTTAAAAATAAAATAAGATTTTTATTCAATTTTAATTAATTTAATTATTTAAATTGAAAAAAAAAATAGAGTATGAGGTAGAAATTGAAAGTTAGTAGAAATTTGGAGTGTGTAAGTAACTAGCAAGGAGGATATCATGAGAAATATTAGAAACAAATAATTAGGTTTTATTTGTTTTGATTAAATAGAAAATTGGGGAAAATAGGTTTAGTTTACATTACATAAAATATGAACAATTTTGAGAGAAGAGTCCAGCAATGGTTTGGAAGAGGAAGAGTTAGGAGGAGACAACATAATCAAAACTTAGAGAATTTGCAA